AAGCTATGCTGTTTTCTTAACTATATTATAAGACATACAAATAATGACCGTTTATTAGGAATTCTCACATGCTGTAAAAAACAATTTTATAACAACTTATAAATAATAGTACACGACTGTGATAAATGGGATTGTAATATTGAACAAAAATAAGTGGCAACAGTAAGACAGAGTTGCAAGGATTTTTAAAATGTATGGAATTAAAGAACTGTAATTTTATAGAGTTGGATGAAGTGGATGTAATGTCCCAATATGTAGCGAAAATTCTCCCCATATTTCTATGTTAACGCGATAATAATATACAGTGGTGGCCAAAATTGTGGACACTTTTGGAAATTTTTATGTTTTTGAACTTTGTATGCTTATAGAAAATGTTACGTTTCGCAAAATGCAAACTTGTATATATCATTTTAAAGAGAATTTATTACTGAACTCAATACAAAACACAAAATTCAATTATTTCCAATACAAAAAAAAAGTTATATGTACTTTAATATAAATAAAAAACAATGTTATGAAGTGGTTTGTAATGTCTAGCTTTCCTGGCCAATCACTGTTCTTGTTCTGAGAACCAATCAAATGTTAGTAACTGCCAGTAGAAGCTGACATCATGTTTACACTTGAAATAATTCATTATTTTGCTTTGTTCTGTAGAAGGAGGACCTGTTTCTTATACACTGCAATTATAAGTAGGATTTTTTGTAAAAATTTTTAATATTTAGTACATCAAAAATAAAAGAGTAGATTGGACACCTAGAAAGAGATGTAATATTATTGTGTTACGAGAAAGTGGTCTTTCCTATGCTGAAATTGCAAGACAGGTGGGTGGTTCAGTGACTACATCTGGAGTCTGAAAGTTTGTTTACGATATCAGGAGACAAATTCAATAAAAAAAACAAAGAAGGAAAAGGCCGAGAAAGGTGCACCGCATCTATTGATGACAGAAGAATAAAACGACTATGTCTTCAAGATAGAAAAATGTCATCAGCGGCCATCAGAAGTGATCTGAATGATGCTGGTGTTTCTTTCAGTTCAAGAACAATCAAGAGAAGATTAACAGATGTTGGACTGAGAGGTAGAATTCCACGAAAAGAGCTTTATCTTAATTTTCAGCAACGAAAAAGAAGACTACGGTGGGCAAAGGAACACATTAATTGGACAGATGATCAGTGGTCACAAGTTATATGGAGTGATGAAACTAAGATATCGTTATTCGGTAGTGATGGGCGAAAATATGTAAGACGTAGAATAGGGGTGTCAGCCGATAACATCGCGGCAAAAACATCGCGGACGAAAACGTCGCGGAGAAAACAACGCAAGGCAAAAACGTCGTGGTACAAAATATCGTGGGAGAAAGCATCGCAAAGAGAAAACATCGTGGTACAAAACATCGTCGTCGAAAATAATGCGGTTCAAAAACTTCGCAGTTTAAAAACATCGTCGTCGAAAATATCGTGGTAAAAAATAAAGTATCTACAAATCATCGCATGACACTTCGCAGACATGCTTTTTTCAGGTTTTAATAATTGTAAAAGGATGTTCCCATAATGATTTGTGAGCGCAAGATTAAAGAAGGATAATTTTTACTTTCACATTTTTTATTAACCAATAAATTTTTGCTGAAAAAGTAAGAAGGAAACTTAAGCATAAAAAATTAAATGCAAATTATAGGTTATACTTTTCATGAAAAATTACCAGTAAAAACTTCATAAAAATGATTTATTATGGCATTTGTTAGTTAACTATGTCGGTTTAAAATTCTATTAATCTATACGTTGCATTAATTTTCTATGCTTAAGTTCATTCTTATTTTCTCAGCAAAAATTATTAGTTAATAAAAAGTATGAAAGTAAAAATTATCCTTCTTTACATTTGCCATATCAATATGGGAATATCCAGTACATTATTTAAAGCCTGAAAAAACGTCTGCAATGTATCGTCATGCGATGATTTGATACTTTATTTTTTTTTTCACGCGAAGTTTTACGCTTTATTTTCGACCGATGTTTTGTACCACGATGTTTTAGAACTGCGATGTTTTATCTTTGGATGTTTTCTCCCACGATTTTGTACCACACGTTTTTGCTTGCGTTGGCGACGTTTTGAGTAATACATTTGCATTAGCAAGCAAATGTAAAGGACCTAGGATTTCTATGTTTCGCATAAGATTTTTATTAAATGCTTGCGCCATTTTGGAACACAGGATAAAAAATTAAAATGCCAATTTTTGGTTTTTGAACTAAATTATAGAAATCGGTTTTCAAATGTTTTAAAAATGCAAAAAATTAGTTAATATTTTCGCAGTCCTACCTGAATGCATGTGGCAACCGTTTTCCATCATACCTATTTTCTCAGCAATAAACATGAGAGGCGTAAAAAAACCAAATCATCAAAGAGAACAATCAAAAAGTTAGTACGGAATCTATCTTTAAATCATTTGCTATCAATTGTTCCATCAAATTTATGGGTCATTAAAATAAAAGACGTTTTAACAGACATATGCATATTGAGGAAAAAACTCCAGCTCAATAAGAAATTCGTCGAGTGTTACGTAAGCATGCAAGGAGGGATCTATTAACTGATACAATTTTGGCCAGATGATCAGTGTTCACAGTATATGGAAGTGATCCTAAAACTAAGATATCGTTATTCGGTAGTGACGAAAAATATGTAAGATCGCATCGCGGCCAAAAACATCGCGGACGAAAACGTCGCGGAGGGGAAAACAACGCAAGGCAAAAAACAAATATTCGCAAACGAGAAAAATCGTGTACAAAACATCGTCGTCGGATCAAAAACTTCGCAGTTCGCGTCGAAAATATCGTTAAAAATAAAGTATCTTCATCGAATTTGCAGATGCTTTTTTCAGGTTTTATAATTAAAAGGATGCATAATGATTTGTGAGCGCAAGATGTAAAGAAGGAAAACGATAACAATAAACCAATGAAAAAAAAAAAACTTAACATAAAAAAATAAATGCAAATTAGAGGTTAAACGTTCAAAAAATACCAGAAAAACTTCATAAAAAGATTATTATGGCAAACTATGTCTTTTTAAAATTCTATTAATTCTATACGTTGCATTAATTTTCTTTGCTTAATTGTTTTTCTTATTTTTAAAGTATTGAAAATAAAAAAATTATCCTTCTTTACATCTTGCCATCACAAATCAATATGGGAAATCAACAGATATGTTATTCAGCATACCAAATATTTTCGACGACGTTGAAAACAAACATTAAAATGTTGTAAACAGAAAGTTTCTCCCACAACGCCGTTTTTGCCTACGTTTGTCCGCGTGTTTTCCTGTAAAGAATAGGAGAAGAGAACAATGACTCAAGCAAAAAAACTCAGTTGAATATTGGTCGCCTTCACACGAAACCAGACAAAATACATTGACACTATTCTAGAACCAAAACTTAATAAACTTCCATCAGAGATCTCTTTCCCAACAATGCTTCCAGATCATCAGAGATCTTTTTCCCATCAAAACTTCCATCAGAGATCTCTTTCTCAACAATGCTTCGTTTATTTTTCAGCAGGATTCTGCTCCTTGCCACACGGCCAAAATATCGAAAGAGTGGTTTCGTACAAAGAGCATTAAATTGTTGTCATGGCCAGGAAACAGTCCTGACCTGAATCCTATCGAAATTTGTGGCACCGTTTGGAAACCTCTTGTCCGAATGAGGCGCCCATCAAATAAAAGGGAACTAATTGAGGCTATAATTGTTTCTTGGCGTCATATAATATCGAAAGAAGAGCTTAAAACTCTTGTCAGCTCAATGAAACGTCGATGTGAAGCTGTAATCAAAAATAAAGGGTACCCTACTAAGTACTGATAACTCACTGCAATCATCACTATCTAATGTATATCGATAACTATTATCGTTTAACTTTTTTTTGTATTGCAAATAATTGAATTTTGTGTTTTGTATTGAATTCAGCAATAAATTCTCTTTAAAATGATATATACAAGTTTGCATTTTGTGAAACGGAACGTTTCCTATAAGCATACAAAGTTCAAAAACATAAAAATTTCCAAAAGTGTCCACAATTTTGGCCACCACTGTATGTTTAAAATATAACCCTTTAAAATGTTCCTTGCTTCGTAAACGGAGAATTCGAAAAGAAAACGAAAAGAAACTACAACACAACGCAAGCGACGATTAGAAAAAGAAAAACATAAGCGCTAAGAAAAGCTTGCATATGAAACAAAAAAAGAAAAGCGTCAACGCTTAGATAAACGAAATCAAAAGTTACAGGATGCTTCTCAAGAGCAGCGCGAAACTCGATTGTTAGCTGATCGTCAAAGACATGCATTAGCACTAGCTATAAAAAAATGAAACTGAAGAACAACGCAAATTACGATTACAAGATTACTAGTATTAAGTAATATTACTATTAATATTATGCAGTCATATATCTAGGACCGAAATCTCTTCGCAGCAGGTCAAGCATATGTCGCCTTGAGTCGTGTGAAATCATTAGATGGAATATTAATTGAAGACCTGGACTGCTCGAAACTCACTGGAAAGGTTCCTTGCAATAATGAAGCATTACAAGAGATGGATAGAATGATAAATTATAGACCACCATCAGCTTCATAAATTAGAAACGAAAAAATGTTAATAAAAAGTAACTAAATAAATTTTCTCTTTATTGACCTAAGTCGGAATTGACTTAATTTTTTTATATATATTAATTGTTTTAAATTATTTTGTGATATTGCTGTTGAATTGAATTTTATGGTTTAAGTGCGAAGAATACGATATTTAATAAATAAAGGTAACACGCAGAACGTTAAAAAAATCCCCTTTGGGCGTACTAATTTCTCAATTTAATTTTCCAAAGAAATTCTTAAGATATGGAATACTTCGAATGATAGGTGTATACAAATTTTTGTAATATTTTTTAACTGTTAGGTAAATATTGTAAGCATATAGTAAAAAATTATATGAAAATGTGCAATCGGTATACTCATGTGTATTTCTATATTTTCAGGTGCTCTGGCTTAAAGAACTGTAACTATAGCTACTCGGATGAGACCGAAAAGAAATGTTCGAATCCAGAAGGATCGTACGTAGTCCGCTACGACTGCGTTAAAGGTAATGTTTTGAACAGTATTTAAATTTTAAATAAGCAGAAATTTAATTATCAATTATGTCATTTGAATTACGTCAGCAGTTACGTCCGTGCATGCGAATTCCTTAAAAAGCCGTTTGCTTTAAGTTTTCCTAACAACTATATGTTGATTAATACCTTTACACCGTGTGTCGTCACATACATATTCGCTCATCCCACAGGTCTGTGCAATTTTTATGGCCAAGTATAGAGAAGTTTTTAAAGAATCTCCCTACTTTGCTCGAATATCAACAATTTATTTTTAAGCCATATATCCTTTACAAAACTGAAACACTTTCAAGCAAGAATATCTTCAAGCGAAGATCTTTGAAGTGTGAGGACTTCTACATTTCTTGCTGGATATTGCGATAACTTCTAAATTCATAGAAGTTAACTTCTGAAGGTTAGTTATAAGGAACAAGTCACCTAATTAAGTAGTGTTACCTTTAGTTATTGTGACATAATTAAGTAGACGTCTCAATGCCTTTCGTTGTATGGTCTACCGACTATGGAATCAGTTCGAATCCGAAAATTCTGTATCTAGATGACATTTTCCAGGCAGATGAAGAGTTACACCACCTGCGGGAGACCGTTATTTAGCTTTTTCGGCCCGAACACGGAACAGCAACATTACTTTGCCTCAGGTCATTTAGTGGCAACAGGGACAAGAGCCTACTACAGGTCTGTATGCAAGACGACCAATTGTTTATGTCTCCTCGACCCGAAGACACAGAGGTGTCCGTTTATGTTTGGCAAGGAAACACGTCTCCTGGACCAGTCAACAATGGCGTCTGCTCTCTGTACAAACGAGTCCAGGTTCACACTGGAGAGTAATTTAGGTCGTCAATTGATCTTGAGGGAACAACGCACCAGATACAACCAATCCACGCTGTGGAAAGACAGTTACAGAAGTGGTGGAATAATGGTTTTTGTTGGGATCTCTCTCGGTGGACACACTGACCTGCATCTGTTCCATAGAGAAACTTTAACCGGCGTGAGATATGGAGACAAGATCCTTCATCAATATGCCCTCCCCCCCCAATATGCCGCTGCCTATTGGTCCTGGGTGTCTTCTGATAGACGAAAATGCGCGACAGAACCGATTTCGGGTTACTGAAGAATATCTTCAGGGTCTCGGTATGCAGCGGATGGAATTCCAACTCAGTCCTCAGACCTGAATATAGAGCATCTTTGGGACTACTTTGGGGGGGGGCAAAAAATAAACTTGCCTTCACTACGATTCACAGTTATCTACAATGAGACACTTTTAAATAGAAAAAGAAAGCAAGATCATATGTTAAGTATCATAATTTCTTTGCACGTTCGAAGAAATTTATTTGTTTTTTAAGCAAGTGTGGCGGGCGTCACCCGACTCTGAAAGTGCATACGGGTGAGGCGCCACCCGACTCTGACGAGCGGGTGAGACATGTCATTTCCGTTTAAGAAGTTAACAAACATCTTTTTCCGAAAAGGTACTTATATCTCTCCCCCATAGTTTTTTGTTAAGACATATTTATTGACGAAGCAGAAAATAAGATAAATGATCCGATACTTTAAGCTATTGTTCTTCTACTGTGCTTGAAACAGTACACCTTTATTTAGCCTAAGTCATTTTGGAACTTAATGAAAGTTAGAGTTGAACTATAGACATAAAACACAATATTGGTCTGAAGACGTTTCATTTGTAACTCATAATAAACATAATATTCTTAGTAACATAAGAGACAGCAAAGTGACTACATTTGCCGCCTTCAGGTAAATAATCTGTTTAGGTTAGACACCGTGTTGTTAAACACAGTGTTATTTATTGCATATTAACAATAAAATATGTAATATAATACGCCACATAATGATACACATAATATGTAATATATATGTGTAAATATAAAACACCGTGTTATTTATTGTATATTTAATCGTGCATTCTTTTTAAACCCTTTTTAATCGTTGAAGAAATCGTATATCCTCGCTGAACCTCAAGTAGCAACTTTAGAGATTAGGACAGCTGGAGCCAAATATACCTGTTATAGAAGCCGTATGCAGCGCCACCTAGTATAGAATAGAAAAACCATTAATTAAGTCATCAATTTTTGAGAGAATAACATGATACAACATGTTCAAAGAATACATGTCATATAGCTGAAAATTATAAATTATTTATTATTAGAATAAATAAACACCTTCTTTTAATTTTTAAATTAAACTCTACAAAATGAAATACAGAATGGCACAAGAAGTGTCTTACTATTCAATCACACCATGAAAGTTTCAGCATTATACACTGAATGTTAGAAACGCGTGCTTTTATTCATGCAAAATCCGGTATAAGTCAGGAGAAGTCAACAATAGACACAAATTTACGGTTACACAAAAGCAGTTTCGGAGATGGCGGATAATGGCCGATTAAGTCCTGCATAGAAGTTCATTATATTTTCTGAAGAAACGAAGAAATTGGTGGCGACATAAATATGTGTTTCGCGCTCACTCTGATGTAGACACAGGTTGAAATAAAGCATTATCTGTGCATCCACGTAGGCATATTAGGTTAGGTATCGCCGGGCCTTGCTAATTGCTAAGCTTCCGTCCTGGATGGAATTCCGAGGACAACACCCCTTCTACCCTACCACAACCTCTCGAGAGGATTTCGGCTTGCCGTACATTTTGTGTACCGCATTGCCGCACAGACGGTATGCATTTACACACAACCGTGTTCGTTCTTAGAGATTCGAACCCAGGCTCTTTGCTAAGGCAGTCAATGTTAACTACTATCCCTTCTGGACGGCTGGACACTTTGGTACTCACATTAGGGTTTGTTTGAGCTAACGGAAGTATATGGCACTATCGACACTGCTCCACGGTTTCAAGAAAACCAGTTCTTCTTCAGTTGAAAAATCTGAATTTCACCTATAGCATGGAACCGACTCCTTTTGTTCAGATAGACACTAGTGTAAACAGCCTTTACATACTCAGTGACTCACGCGAAACGGACCGTGCCCACACACTGCAAATGTTGTTCTTGATTTCTTATATGAGATGTTTAATATACATGTAATGTCACATCGGTTCCCTGAACGTTACGAAGGTGAGAGACAGCGCATAGCTCGAACATTAATCCATACGATTTCTTTTCGCAGGATTTTTTTAAAGAAAAGGTAATTGCAAGTAAGCTTACAAATGCAGCGAAACTCAGTGCTGTTATCTGGCAGTTTCAGAAGACGTATACCGGAGGTATACCTCCTTTTCAAAAGGTCATGGAACAAAATATGGGCACAATTGAAACATTCTGCATGAAACTCACTAAACTAACTTAACTCCATGCTCAGTCATAAAGCTAGAAAAAAAAGCTTAGGAACAACTCATGAAAGGGGGCACTAGGAAATTTTCCCATTATCGTTTTTACCATGGAAAGTGTGGTGCAGCTAACTCTACAGACAGTAAGAAAAACTGGAACAAATATACAGTGGCTCCCAAAAGTGTTCGTACACTTATGATTTTCATTGAAATAGGGCTTTATTCATTAATTAAAGTAAACTTTCTGAATGAGATTTTAATAAGCAGATCTATAATCTATTCGTAACAAAATTATATGAAATATTCTTAAAATATAGCGAAACTTTGTTTTTATTTATTTGGTTTGGTTTATTAAAAATACGGCAAAGCACACTAGGGCTATCTGCCTAAGGGGAGGGAGGCCTTCGTGGAGGACTTTCTAAGGGAAACTGGCTCGTATACGCGTTACACATAGGCAAAACCAGGAAAACGCCCATGCAGCCAGCCCGTTCGCAGGATTTGAACGTCGGACCGGACTACCAGTGTTCAGCGATTTTACCGCTCAACTTTGTTTTTAAGAAATTAATAATAAAAAAATGGCAAGCATTTTATCTCACAAAAGTTTCGTACACTGAAATATTTTTGGATAAAATCAAAATTAGAATTATCGTTTGCCGCTTTTTTTAATTTTTGCATTGTGGTGGCATTTAAAACATCGTTTGCTTTAATTTTTTATTGTTTACTTCATAGCATTCTATTTATTATTGAAAAATGGGTCGCAGTCGAAAAGAAATTACAAACGGCATTCTAAAATTGATCATTTTTCACCATAATAGTGGTAAATCAGTTCGAAATATCCCTAAATTAGTTAATTTATCCCACTCTACAGTGCAGTATGTGATAAAACGCTTTAAAGAAAATCGAATTGAAAACAAGGTAAGGAAAGGTCGACCGAGAAAGTTAACTAAACGTGATGAGAGATTTATTATTAGAAAATTTGTGAAAAACCCACGTTTGTGTGCTGTAAAAGTTTCTGCAGAATTTAATGCAAAGTTTTCTACTTCAATTTCATCTTAAACTGTTCGACGAGTTCTCAGAGAAGCTGGATTACATGGGCGTTCTGCCCGTAAAAAAAAATTTTGTTAGGGAGAAAAACAGAAAGCTTAGGCTTTCATTCGCAAAATCAATGATAAATACACCCGAAACGTACGGAATAATGTCCTATTTGCTGACGAAAGCAAATTTAACGTTTTTGGTTCCGATGGTCGAATAACTGTATGGAGAAGAAAAAATTAGAAACTTCATTCTAAGAACTTAGTTTTAGCAGTTACGCATAGTGGTGAAGGTGTTCTTGTGGGGGGGGGCATGACAACATCGGGACTAAATAATTTGGTATTTATTGATGGCATAATGAATCATTCTCTTTATTTAAATATTTTAAGAGACAATTTAAAATTATCAGCCAAAATTTGGGTATTGGAAACAACTTAATTTTTTATCATGATAACGATCCTAAGTATACGGCTCTCAACGTTCGCCTGTAGTGTCTCAATAATTGTTCACAGGTTTTGAAAACACCACCTCAGTCGCCAGATTTAAACCCCATAGAACACATTTGCTGGAGGTTAGAGTACGAAAACACGATATCAAAACGAAAGATGGAAGAATGGATGAACATTGATACAGAAATAATAATAAAAAAAAAAAAAAAAAA